AGCATGATTCAAGGAAACTCCCATGAACACCTATTTTGAAAAAAAAAAAACCCTCACACTTGGGACAATGATATTAGTCCATGGTATACAAATCCTGAAGCTACAATGAGCATGGATTTACACATACAACACCAATTAGTGTTATCAGGAGTAATAAGAACGGCCATACAGGATCAGACCAAAGGTCCATCTAGCATAGTATTCTGTTTGCCGACAGTGGCCAATACCAGATGCCCCAGAGGGAGGCAAACACAAAAGGTAATCCTCATGTGATCTTTCCTGCCACCCATTGCTAGACAAAAAGAGGCTAGAAACACCATTCCTACCCATCCTAGCTAATAGTCATTGATGGATCTAAACTCCATGAGTCTGTCTAGCTCTTTTTTGAACCCTGTTCAAGTCCTAGTCTTCACCACATCCTTTGGTAAGGAGTTCCACAGGTTGACTGCATGCTGAGTGAAGAAAAACTTCCTTTTGTTTGTTTTAAACCTGTTGCCTATTAATTTCATTTGGTGACCCCTAGTTCTTATATTGTGGGAATAAGTAAACAATGTTTCCTCATTCACTGTTTCCATACCAGTCATGATTTTATACACCTCTACCATATCCCCCTCCTTAATCTCCTCTCCTTCTCCTAGCTGAGCAGTTGAAGTCTTTTTAATTTTTCTTCATATGAGACCCATTCCAAACTCCCCCCAATCAACTTTTTTGCCCTTTTCTAAACCTTTTCCAATCCCAATATTTTTTTTTTGAGATGAAGCAACCACATCTGTATGCAATATTCAAGATGTGGATGTACTGTGGTTTTATATAGAAGCTGAAAAAAATATTCTCTGTCTTATTCTCTAGCCCCTTTCTAACGATTTCTAACATTCTATTTGCTTTTTTGACTGCTGCTGCCCACTGAGTGGATGTTTTTAGAGAAATATCCACAATGGCTCGAAGATATCCAAGATGCATATAAAGACTTGAGCCCTTTATTAAACTGTCCAATCTTGAGCATTTTTCTAAAAGAGACTCTTAACACACACACAAAATTAAATACACAGAACTTAAGTTGATCCTTGTTTTAGCTCCCTGAAGCTATTTGTCCAGACACTACACCCATGAACACAGGACAGAGAAAAAAATGTAGCTATTTTCTAGGTCAGAGTTTGAACTTCCCATCTCTGAATCAGAGACTCTTCAAACTCTATATACAAATTGGAGCTCTCTGGTCCAGCACCCTTGGGACCTAACTAGTCCCAGATGAGAGATTTTATGAACCAGGCGAGGCCATTTCTGGCTCCTTGCTGTTACTCCTCCTTGAATTGTTCCCCGACACCCCCACCCCCAGGCCTCCTGGCTCCCCTGTGCAACCTAGCCAAGCCTGGCCTTGCCTCCCCTGCCCCGTAGCCAGCTAAGCCACATGTCATTCCTCCCTACCCCCCACATAGTGCCAGGACTCTCTTATACTGCAATGTCCATGGTCCAGTTGCGGGTCCAGAGAGTTCTGGTTTATAGAGGTACAACCTGCAGTTGTCTTACCATATACCTGCCCACTGCTAAGAACCAAAATTCCTTTCTTTCAGAAATTCTCAGAATAAGAGACAGTGCAGACATGTTTTCCTTTGTAGTAAACTCTCCCTTCAAAATGCTGTAAAACAATTTTTAAAAGCTACCTTATAATACTATGAATACCCTACTCCAATCATCCTCTGCTCCCCTTCAATTACTCTCCAACTCTAAGTGCATAGGGCTTCCCACTTGTTTTTATAAATCATTCACTACCATATGAATTTCACATCTGCCACATCTTCTACTTTTGTGTCACCATCCATTGTCCGTCTACTGGTATCTCCTCCCTGAGGTCATCTGCAGTAAACGTAAGCTTCTCAAAACTCAATGCTATTTTTTGTTGAATTGTTTTCTGAAGCCTCCAAACACGTATCATAAAAAAAGAGACTAGGACTACAGCTACAAAGTCATGAGTAAAATTTTCAGAAGTGCCTAAGTCTGTCTTAAAATTAAGACCTACATGCTTTTTACCCTATATGCTTATGCACTTTGGGCATGAGCTTCACACATAAAATAATTGAGTTTTCAACAATATTCTTGTTCTTTCGTTTTCTCAAATAAAGAACCAAAAACAAGAGAGATGGTACCAACTAAGATTACATACCTTGTTGTTTGTAGCCTTTGTGATTTTCCCAGTATCTGTTTGCCTTCTGATAAGGAAACAACTGGAAAAAGCTAACAGTGTGGGATTTTTGGTAAAATTCATTTAATAAATATTTCTATAATACAGGATTGGAAGCAACAAGTCCTGCCAATAGACCCTAATATCCTGTCTTAATTTTCTAACAAATATTTCTTAAGTGATTCTATGGTATATGACTTATTCCAGGACTCTGAAATCAGAAGATTACTTACTTTGAATCTTTAAATCAGGTTCAAATTTGAAATATAACTCAGGCCTTTTTCAGAGCTACTCAAGAGAACGAAGCCATTTTATGAGCAGAATATAACTTGTTTCATATTAAATCTGTTATTCTGAAGCAACAAAACAACTAAAGCTCAGGATTGCAGCTGTGTTCAACAACTGAGGCCCTCCACATAAAATAGCTCCACATTTGAAAGCAACGGGGAAAAACAATCTACAGTTTTCCAATTTAATCAATGGGAAATGAAAGAGTTTAGAATATTTTGATTATAGCATCTAAACTTGCTGCTCTAAGAGCAACAAAACAATTACTTCATAATTCATGTTTATTTGCCTTATGGTGTGCCAAACTAATTATAGACAGGAAGGACGCATGGGAATTGTTTTTTTTCCTTCTTAACTAAAGGTCTTTATTTTCATATTACTCATATACTCATCTCAGCAGGATGATCTCAATTAGAAAGTTGTAACAAATTGAGATAGTCTTTCCAAAAAAAAAACAAAAAAAAACCCTGATACCTATGCATGCTTAGAAACAAACGTAATAATAGTAACTGTTTACTATTTCTGATGCACATAAAGTGAGCAAAGACATACAATCACAGATGATTAGTGCTTAATAAAGTTTAAAAAGATCAAATGTAACAATTAAAGGACAATAGCAAATAGTGACTGAATTTAGTGGATAAAAAACTGCTTTGTGAAACTCAGCTGTGCAGAAACTGGTAGGTAATCAAGAACAAATCTTGAAAATCCTCTCCGCAAATTGTATATATTCTGTAATTTTAATGAAAATATACACACAAAACAGACTTGAGAATTCTGTAGCAGTCTAACTACTAAGAGCTTTGGGCACGTTAAGTATTTCAAATAAGTTTTATGTCTGTTTGGAACCAAGTTAAGATCTTTAAAAAACTTAGACCTGATTTTTTTCAAAAAGCAACAATATGTGCTTTCATTTGAAAAGCTGATTTCTGTAATGTCTGAATTCTCCTGAATTGCAGCAAATTTTTAAAGAGCTACTGCCACTGTCAGAGATACTTGGGTATAAACTGACAGTTTTAGGAGAGCTGCTACCAGCTTTATAAATTCCTGGTGGACCCCCGGGTCTACAGTATATGCAGATCCAGTTAAAATGAAGTAAACAGAAGAAAACAAGATGAAAACAACCAGAGATTATTCTCTCTGGTTTGGGATTTTATCCCTCTACCAAATTCTTGACATGGACCACCAGTTGAGAACCACAGCACTAACCCATTACAGTACTGTATATCTATCTAGTCCCCCCAACACCTCTTTTGTTTACCTTTTGGTACCTTCAACCAATAATCATCTTCTAGTGGCATCTGATCATATTTCACTTGACAATCCATGAGTAACAAAACATATGGTAACGAATCTTATCATAGACTTCAACAGTCAAGATACAGAATCCCTAACCACTCTGATCCAGCAGCTGCATATTCTCTCATTAATTTAAAGTCTTCATGCTCATTAGGGATATAGTCTTGGCCAGTGCAAACAGATCTGAATTCGTAAGTAAATAATACACTCTAAAATATTTAACAATTAAACAGCCATTCCTTTGGATGAAAAGATTTTGTGATGATAAATATACTCTCTGTAGATGGGTAAGCAGCACACATATAACTT